GTCAAATTTAATCATTTTCTTAAGTTAAACCATTTAATTAATTATTTCATTGTTTAAGTCAAATTAACGATATAAGAGAAGTAGCGACTTACATATTATAAAAATGATTAAAAATGACTGAAAGTAGGTATAACTTGACATTATATATGTATATGAATTTAACAGTGATATCTGTTTTATATTATAAAATTTGAGTATTGATTAAACAATTTATCTGAATCTGTCAATTACGACTAAATGCGATATTTCTTTCTTCATTCAAGCGACGCGTTCCGTTACCGCGTTGTTTTCGCGAAACAACGTTTCGCGCGCATATCCGAATCGAGAGTCGCGGCCGCATTCTCCGCGATTTACCTCATAATAAAATTTCTCGTGTCTCACAGCGTGGCACAGCAGCGCGAGACGCGTGCGTGCGGCTCCGCAGACCGGCGCGCATAAATGCCTAGAATCTAGAAGAAGGTGGGCCAAAATGGGGACACGAGCATTCGAATGGGCATCATCGCACAATAAACGACGCGAGAAATGTCATAAACAATTTTTACGTTACGCTATATAAAGTTTCGACGAGCGTCTCGCTTTCTTCCTTATACTTTTCTAAAAATCGCCGCTTTCGATCCCCATCTCGTCGTCGACTCCGGATCTCGGCTCGTTGTACCGAAGCGGATTTTATCGGCAACGAAGAAGCCTCAAGAATCACGATTGCGTGGGTACGTGTAGGTGCGATTACGCCATCGGGCTTTTTGTAACGAGCGCCGCGATAAATGACGCATCGCTCTCTCGGATCGCCGGAAGATCGCATAATTTATAAAGGAGCAACGCGCCATTACGCGACCATCCCATCGAGCGGCGGCCCGTTCTTCGCTTCGGAGTTATGCAATTCGCCATAATCATACCGCCTCGGTCGCATTCCATTCAGCGAGTCACTGTTCCCGGTGTACGCAAATTGCCGACTACCGTTGATTGTACGTAGCAGCCAAACGGAAAGTAAATGGAACATGTAGGCTTCAAATTCCCGAAGTGGTCGAAGAACGACCTTGTTCCGGAATATTTGTCAATTTTTCCAACATTAAACACGTTCTCTTTCATACCGTTCACTTAAACACTTGCGCGGAGCTCCCACACGTCGTCTAACTCAAGACTTCGAAGAGTCGCCCTTCGTATACCTGTGATCGTTCGTGAAAAATCACTCGTGACGGCAAAATTTATAGGAATTTTACGATTTCCGCACTTCGCCGACATACGCCGATCACGGAGTAAAATGTACGACTTAATGAGACGCGTTAAGGATTTCCGTTACAGGAGCGAGCATGCTCGTTCGGGCAAAGATATAGGCATTAATTGAACAGCACTCCATTAGAAAAATTATCGTTTCGATTGAAACGCAGCTCTTGCGCGGTGACGTGTCAAAAATTGCATGAGACGGGCGGGGAGAATTATGACAGGGTCGATTTATCATATTCTATTAGCGAATAACAGGACTTACACCTGTGCGCGCGCGGCGGCCGTAGGTATCACAGGTAACTCGATGCAAGACACTATCGGGCACAGTTGCGTCATAATCAATATTACGCATTATTAGTTCCATCGCCGAGGCCAGTTACCGACTAGCTGGATTATATACAATGCGATGGTAGCAAGCATAAACATTAACTCGTCGACAAAGTTTGCGCGACATAGTTCGAGCCGTACATTCGATAACGACCGCATCGAGTATCCGACAAAATGAGAATCCGATATTCGAAAACAGTAAGATGCGAAAGGAAATTGCGAAGTACGCAACCAAAGTCGATTTCCAAGTGCATGAGGTCGTTCTTGTACCAACAAATTATATTATTGGAAAAATGTCTAGCTAGATTAATTGGAATTCTGATTGAAAATGGACGAGTCAGAATTTTCTCTCTACTTAAATCTACTAAATCCTGATTGTGATAACTGAAATTCTAATTGTTATACTTAATCAGAATGTTCCGGTTTCAATTAGACACTTTTCTTAGTGTAATAATTACAAATTTTAGTGAATCGGTATAATATGCTTCATGTACATGTATAGTTGTAGTTAAGATATATGTATCTTTCATATATCTTAACTACAACTGTGAAAACTAATTGTAAGTTCTAAAGTTCATCCTATTTGAAATACAGAATGCAAGTGAGTCTCCGCCTTAAGGTAATTAATAGAGAAAGGTTCAACCGTTTTTTATTTTATACAATTCAAAACTTCGTAATACCTCATAGGACTAAAAATAATTGTACACATACAATTGTCCAAAAATTTTCGTTTAAAGTCCAAATGAATTATTGCTAATTAATATCAATGTAATAGTAGTTTGCTTAGAACATTCTCCTCTAAATATCCACGCCCATATAATACAGAGGCTTGCAGCAACATTGCTGCAACATTGATGCAACATTTTCAGCGTTATTGCAATAATCCTGGAACACGTTGCAATGTTGCTGCAATATTGCTGGAATGATCTGTGCTAAATGAGATAAATATAAAAATGAGTCTAGCGTGATCGTGAACAAATTTTTTTACGACGGTTCCCCGATGCACAGGATTTTGCCAAGAGTCAACGAACTATTCGAGAACAGGTCATACACACCGTGGCCTCATTTACAAAGAATTAACTCATACTCTCGCGATGCGAGGGCCGTGATACGCACGACGACGTACGTACAAAATGCTTTCTCCCGATATGGCGTCGTGCACTTCGTACTCGCTCTTCGGAAAGAGGAACCTTCCAATATGTTCCATTGGTATGTCACTGGGATCGCGATTGCCTTTACTGTACGCATTTGATTTAATCGTGGCAAAGACTTCGTTAGAAGTTACAACCGTGAAAGTAAAAAACGGGGGCGACGACCTCGCCAATTGACTGTGGAAAACCTTATTCCGCGAGAGAGAGAAGGGGAACCAGAGATTAGGCACGTGTCGCATTTCATGAATGCGTTGCTAATAACATGTCGCAAGCGCTATTGTCCCAGTCATCTATACGAAGAATTTACCATGAACGCTCTGTGAGCGTTTCTGCGAAGTCAATTGCAATTGCTAATAGTCGATTAAATTGTTATTTTTGATACTTACGATTTGATTTTCTCACATTGTTGTAATATTTCTTTCACAGAGCGCATGGTATATTTACTTACCTTGATTATATCTTACGATACGTAAATTTATTCATTTTCTATTATATAAAAATCTATTAAGCAGATAAATTAAGTAACTTCGCCTCATCGTTAGTTATCTAAATGTTTACCCAAAATGTGTTATTTAGCAGCAAGGGAAAGTTGGGAAATAATTTAGCGCCTGTAAATCCCCTAAATGATAGTTATTTGATTGCTGGTCGCTGTGATGGCGGTATTATAAGAATTTAGAAAGCATTGCGGTTAGATATATAGATGCAAGAAGTAGTGCGTTCAGTCAATTTAGGTAGCTACACTGTGTTTTACCATAATTCGGTTTCACAGAAGATTGTCAACTAAGAACATGTTTCACAAGCAAATAAATTAAGGAAGAAGGAAATTTACGTATCAATAACAAATTATTTTCCTATAAAGCAGAGATTGTGGTGTGAAACACTCCAGTATTTACTTCTTATATTTAACTCTCAGTATTTAGACTTATCGTTGTATTTAGTATTTATGGCTTTAGATTTTTGTGCAACTGTTGGCGCATTTAATAACATGTAATTATATCAATCTAATATATGAAAAAGAAAAGATTAACAGATCCGTGAATATATATATTAATATTGAGACTCGTAAAAATTCTATGATGCTTGCAGCCGAACGATACGTGGGAAAATTTTGCCGACGTTACCGTAGGCATATTCGCTGTCATTAAACGTGTTGCAATTGCCTCTTTAGTCGCCCACTTTATGAGGTATTAGCAATGATTCGTTGCAAAATTTTACAGGAAGGTGTCGGCGATTCAGGCTCGCCTCGTGTACCTTCACTCTCAGAGATCTTACTATATTATCTTTCAAAACCCTCGGATGTGCTTGGCAACGCATCCGATGTGAAGGAGCACCGATAGAATTAGAAATTCCACGATAAAGCAGCCGCACGCGATAACGGTGTGCGATTCGGGCTCGCCAGGAAGAAAACTCGCTATTGTCGAATTGGAGCGTAAAGTAAGCTACATTCGCGTGTTACGAACGCTGAGAGGTCTGCCGACGTAATTAACAGTTGCAAACTAATTATTGCGTATAATTCCTTCTCGTGCGTTTGATTCCCACCTTCGGCATCTCGCGCATTCATATCCGGTATACGAAAAGAGATTATTAAACGCATAAGCAGCGGTTTTACTTAAACATTTACAAATTAAAAGTACAAAAGTATCAAGTAACAAAGTATAGATGAGAAATGTGGAAATTAAATATATATTTTTCATAAACCCGTCATTTCCACTCAGATTAATTAAGTGAAAATTTTCTCGGTTCAATATACTTATTTTTATATCCTATCGAGATATAGATTAACTTTAATCTTGGTTTAATTTATTTCTCATCTTTTTCTAATTCTTAGAACTAGATAAACCAAGATTAAAACAAATTAGACTATATTAGTAGAAATATGCATTAACATAACAGATTCATTTAACGCATGATTAAGAATTCAATTTCATTCGCACATTAAATTCCGTGATTAGAAATCGAAACTAGATCGATTGCGGCATTTTTTTTTTTAAAGAAAAATCAAAGAGAGATTAGAAATGTACGGTTATGCTGCGCGAGTCATGTGCCGATCTCTAAACAGGCTGTAGTAATTCCTAGTTATTCGTCTCGCCGGCATCGCCTTGTATTTATCCTGGCTGGCGGTGAGAGGTAATTTCTCTATTCCCTGATCGAGGCCTTTAATTTCCAAGGTCGCACGGATCGAGAGCGAAACACTGCGCCGTACAAGACTGCAGCGAGCGGTGATCAGGACGAGGAGCCGGAGAATTCCGGTGAGGGAAGAGGATACCGGGTTCGGCAAGACGGTCCTTCGAGGCGGCTATCATGTATCGACCGAACTTCTACGAGAGCACGTGTCTGAGATGCGCTCAGACCGTCTACCAGGTCGACAGGGTGGGTCCCTTGAAGGACTTCACGTTTTTTCACGCTGGCTGCTTCAAGTGCGCAATCTGCGGCACCAAGCTCACCCTGAAAACCTACTACAACAATCAGCACACGATCAATGACAAAGAGGTGTACTGCAGCAGTCACGTGCCCAAACCCGGACCCGGGACTCTCGATGGATCTAGCGTGGGCATCAGAAGCGCCCTTAATGTACCTAGAAGCGGCTATGTTAACGAGCAGATCAGGGCAGGAGGCGCGTCGCCGCGCGGCGTCTATCCACCTTGGTGAGTGACTGTACTTCCTTTTTCCATTAATTAATAACTTCTTTTTCCTCTAATATTGATTTTTAACAATCCATATTTCCAATTTGTATGCACGGGATCTGCAGGTAATCCGTCTTCAATGTAAATTCCACATACACACCACTATATACACACGGTACCGTTAATATCAAATATTAAAAATATGATATTTGTGAAATTTATGTAATATATCTTCGAACTCCTATCGCATTGTGTAATTTATCGTAATACAGACAGAAATTTAATGCATTTGCATTTATATATCGCGTCTGTCTTATCATAGCTTTTACATGTTGCGTTAAATTATGTGTGACTATGGAATATAGTATCTCTCTTTTTATACATGATTCAATCCACAAAAAAGACAATAAATAAACGACGAAAGAGACGCTTGGAATATTCAACTTGCATTAACGAAATTAAATTTTTTAATAAGCTCAAAACGAAGGTCATGCATGTTTTCCTTCAGTACCGTTATCGTCCGAAATGTAAGATATTATAATAACTATATATACCAGAGCTATTCTCTTCGGAAAATATCAGAAGTAATTTTGGCGCTATCCTATGATAACAAATCACAATGTAATGGCTCTTTAAATGCCCCTTTGTGAACGGATCTGTTTTCTTTCGGCAAATAATACTCGCGAGTCATTCAAGTTTGTAGAACGCTGCATAGATTTAAATACGTAACGCTCTCAACCGAGCTTATTTGAATCGTAAATAGACACGAAGCTAGGCTCTTCACCTCAATTTCCTATATTAAAGAACAATGCGATACTTTGTAACACGTGCCATCGCTTCTTGCGCGCGTCACTGTGTATTCTAATTTCGTCGATTAGCAAAGGTAATCTCGCGAGGAAGTGTCGGCCACCGCTCTCAGTTTTATGTTTCACGGTTCTCGTATCTTATTTTCTCGCTAAGCTTTCCTTTCCGTGAAAAACATAAACGTTAACAATACAAAACACAATTTTAATAGCACTTTAATAGACGCTAGGGCACACGCCGAGGGCACGTTCCGTAGAATTTATGTCTAATTTCTCCACTTTCCCTTTGCTGCCGATCGAGATCGAACGCTGCTGGAAATAATAGCTCGAAGTCTCGAAATCGAGTTTCGCGGAAAACACATACAAGTATGTATAACTATCATGCTTCGTTTATTCGTGGCCTTGGTAATTCTTTGTTTCAAATCTGTAATTCAATTAGTGAAAAATTATATACTTTACGAAATCGTGTATTATATAAAATTATAAACTGGAAATATTTAGACGTTACAGCATGTTCGAATGTTCCTTTGACATTAGTGGCAAATTTGAAACTACAGATGATTTTAAAATTATTCATGCATTTATAGTTTTGAAGAGATCTTATCTTTCGCTACACTTTACGTTCACGCGAATTTTGCCAGCGAGTAAGACGTAATTGTTTGACGCGCAATTTCGCGGAAATTGTTAATCATATATACAAATGCATTCTTTGATTCCATGTCATCTCACGGTCTTCTGTTCTGTATCAGATACCTCACTCCACCGTTATGCAATAAGACTACTTTGACCTTAATCCGACGAAGTCTGGAATAATGTTCGAGTATAGCCGACAGTTTTGTGTACAAATGCTGCTTGGTCTTTAACCTGAATGCTGATAAGCGAGTTTTGAGCTCCTTTCTATAGAGACCGTTTTAAGCGATCGTACGAGAGAGGAGACTATAAATTTTATTAGAGATTCTACAAAATTGCACTTTTCAGAAAAATTTCCAACAAACAAAATTAGCAGAAAAAAATCGGAATCTAGATAAAAAGAAAGAAATTAATAATTTTCATGAACGCGCGCGCGCGTGACATGAAATTGAAATATTCAGTTTGGTATCTTGTTACCACGAGAAACTCTCCCGAACGACTAAGTTCTACATGTTTACAAAGCCAGCCAGAGTCAAATATGAAGCTCTAGTATGTATATAGGATCAAGAAATCCCTTGCGTATCTCTAATAAGGAAAATAGGATTTCTAAATAGGAAAGAAATCGAAGTTCTAACGAGACTAATTCTCAATAACGGATTACAATTTATGCTATCAGGAAAATGAATCTGATCTTAGTGTGTCAGCTTTATATTAAGAAATCATGATCGCGAGATTCGATTAAGTAAACATCGCGATATTGCAAGAAGCGCGCTGCCCACCATATCGCCTCACGTAACCACCGTATCCGCACGTTATTATTGCAATCTAGTTTTCCTGCTAGAAACGCATGCTTAACGTGCATACGTTCGCGTTAAAGCTGGCTGTCGCGGTCGCATATTGCCGAGACTACTTGCAGTTATTTCAATCGCTCGTCCGTCTGTTGCCTGCTTTAACATCTTTCAATGCGACGTCGCGCACGCACGTGTGCGTTTTGTGTGCCTTTTTACGGCCACCGCTTCGCAAAAGTCACACGCTCGTGCCTATACATGCATACGTTACGTGATGAGTTTCTTGCCGATGGAGCTTTCCTTCGCGGGTTCTTGTTTCTTAACTTTCAAACTTTTTACTATTTTCTTTCATTATATTAACATACTTGTATTTATCGTATTGTACATCAATATGTCAGTTATTTAATCATCCGAGAGATTAATAATTCTTGAATAATTTTCGCGAAATTGCGCTTACGTCAGGCAATTATCTTACTTACTAACAAAAGTTTTATACAGCGAGGTAAAAGATAAGACTTCTAAAACCATAAAAGCATGAATAATTTTAAAATTATTTAAAACATCTTTTTGCCCTTAATTTTAAAAGAGTATTAAACATGCTATATCATATCTAAATAGTCGATAATTTTATTATATAAAACAGTTTCGTAAAGTATAACTTTATCAAAAAGTGTTGCTACAATTTTCACGATCATTCTTCTTCATCTAACACACATATCGCTACTCATAAATCATAATAAATCAGCTGACGCGGAGAGATATAATTTCTAATGTTTTTTTTAATTTTTACTTCATTTAATTTTGATCGGTTAATTTGAACTAATAGATGTAATAACTCATATTAAAAAAATAATAAAATTTTTTATCAACAGTTTTCTTTGGAATTTTTTAAATCCATTTTCTTAAGTTCAAAAATTATTACGATTATTTCACATTTTATTTTCCACATTCTTTAAGAAAGCTCCTTAGAAATCCTCTTTGGAGCTCGTTTAGTAAGCGATTACTGACCCGATCGTTTAGTGAATCCGATAGTTTCTTGTACCCACCTCTCGCGAGCCTGCATGGCTTGATAATCACAGTCAGAGAGAACGAGTGCAATAAAAGGTAGATCGAGGAGAAAAGAGAAAAGAAGAGGAAAGAGGAGCATGGGCTCCGCTCGCGCGAGTGAATGAACCCAGCAGATCGAGTGAGAGAGGTGTAACACATTCATTTAAGAGATACACTAAATTCTCACAAGCGCAGGCTATCGCGCCTATGGTGAGATTTTTATTTATTGCAACTCGTTGTGTTTAACCACGACGCTAATTGCATTGCAATTCTGCGTGATAGACGCAGTAATTGCGTCTATCACGCGTATTAGCAGTTATCCAGAATTATAGGTCAAGCCCCGCGCGAGGGGGAGGAGTTGAAGTGGCGATTGTTGCGGATATGTGGGTTAACGTAATCCATCGACCTGGATTCTTTGCCGGCAACATCGTGTAACGAGCGACGTTCGCGGTATCAAGGACACTGCGTTACCTCCAAGTGTTCGCTTTTATTCCGTTATCATCCGATACTACCGTCGCTCGCGGCAATTCTTAATCCTTACGCGGCAACATACGTGCATTGCGCACACAAAATTCTTACTTCTACAATATTCAAGAAAAGTAAGTTGATCGTAGGAAGAATTTCTGAAGTTTCAAACTATACAATATCGCGGATTAACTGGTACAACAACTAATACGGCTTGCATGAAAATTGCTATCTAGGGGGTTTTTACTAAGTCTACTAACTTAGAATACACAGGAAATCTTTGCTTCAAAAACTATACTAACAGATCCGGTGTGACAGTTTATATTTATAAAAAAAAAAAAAAACTAATAGAATTTTCCAACGAGTTTTCTTTTGCAATCAAATTTATTTTTCTTTTAATTCGAGAATTTGAGATCAGAGATTCTTCGAGTTCAAATTTTTTAGCTCAAAGTGAAACTTGAAGGAAATTTTTCTCACACAGTTTGATTTTTTGCACGAAAAGAACGATTTTGCTGAAGTATCTAAAAAGCCAGGTCGATTTAAATATAGTTTTATTAGACCGTCGAATTATGTAAGACACTTAAACTGGTTGCTGGAATGTCAAAATTTTCTGCTCATCATGCTTAAGATTTTTACATAATTATTTTGACGGTTCAATAAAATTATTTTCAGATCAGTATTCAGCTAAATTTTAGATCAGCATGATCATTGTTTCCGTGTAACAAAAAAGTGCAAGTTCTACTTTTACTCTTTTAATGAGTAGTATTTTCATTCGTTTCTAATCAATTTTTCTATTAAGCAACATTATTTTCATTAACATTTTGTTATTCTTACAAACACAATGAAGGTAATTTATTCGAGATCGGGACACGACGAGGGGGCCGCCCTGGGACTAATCTCATTACTCTCGGTAATGTGGAAGAGTTAACGTGTTATCGCTTTTCGATCCCCGCAGTGGGGACCTCACCGAGCGGTCCTGTACCCGGTGAACCCTCGCAATCCCCTGAAGACCCGTGTGCACGCTTCTGTTGCAGTTACGATAATGTAGACTCGCCTAATTATGCCAGGCACCTGAACGGGCACGGCTCGCCGCCGGCTAACTCGTCCCAACGCGATGGCATCCACGGCGGTACCGGCGGTGCCTCCTCACCGTACAATCACAATTATTCGGGAGACGGCAGCTATCAGTACGGCAGGTTCGACGCGAGCGCTCTGCACATCGCCCATGCGCTCAAGCAGACCGAGTTACAGAAGGGCTACAGCAAGGCCCGCGAGAAACCCATCGATTATTATCTGGTGAGTCACTGGTCGGTCGCTCGGCCGCGGTTGATGTAATCGCTCTCGTCATGGTCGTCGCCGTATAAGGACGAGAGTGTTACTATTCCGACACGCGCGTGGCACGCCGCGAGCTAGCTAAAGCGATTGCGTCTAACACCGCTGTTGTAAACACGCAATTTCCTGGAGAACCGGAAAACCGTTCTCCTCCACGGGGATCGCGAGTCAGCATCTTCGAGCGCGGAGACACGGTGATATCGCGCGGAGATTGTTGCGCTGCGCCGCGCCGTGCCGAGCGGATGCAACAGTCGCATTCGCTTCGCGCAGCGAAAAGAGTACTAACAGCGCGGCACCCCACTGCTGGGGAGATCTACGAAAATAATCGTTAATTAATAATGCGAATTAGCAATGATAATTTCGGAGCCCGTAGGAAAGCGAACAATGGCAAACGTGATAATTGACTTTTTGCGCGCATATATGCCGCCCGCTGCTGTTATTAGCTTTTTCCTGAAACAGAGGCAGAGGGGAAGAAGGAGATGCATTGTGTGCATGAGCGAAAATACGCACAATAGGCTGCCAGCTACTTCCGTAGTAACAAAATCCAGATCAATGGCATGCGGATGCAGCTCTTCTGATTTTCTTGCAAGATCTACGCTTGGCGCCAAAGTTGCCAGCGACTGATATCTCTTGGCTAATTTATACAGATACTAATTAAACTATACGGTTTGAATTATGTTGCGTATTTTTGTTAGACTCTGTTCCTAAAGAGATAACTGATGTTAAAATTCGTGTTACGGCTTACGGAAACAATCTAATCGTTTAAAATGAAATATAGGTATATTATACAATACGTTATGTATACCTGCAACAGAAAGATAAATAAATAACTGACAAATTCGAGACATTTTATCAACCAAATTAATATAAAATATTATACTTTACTGTAATTACGGTATTCACTTTCGTTATATGCTTGTGGATTAACCGAAATGTATAGCTTGTCATTGGCAGAATAAATAATTGAAATTGTTTTGTAATAAATGTTTAATGATCTAAAAATTCTAAAACAAAACAAAAATCTGTAATATCTGCGTAATAATTACACATTACATCAATAAATTAATACGCTAAAGAAAGAAATATCCCGCCTTATCAATTAATTTCACACAAGAGACAATCGCGGAGACACAAAGTCATATATGACTGAATCTGAATTTCAACGTCTGAGGCTTCGGCTTGGCGAAACCGCGAGACCCCCGACCGCGGATTTCCGAATTTCCGAACGCGATCCGGCATACATACCGTCGCCGCGTGACTCCCATACGCGAATAATCGTCCAACTGGCGCGGTGTAGGAATGCGGCGAACCGTCGCGAGAGAACGGACTTCACATGAAAATGAGATTACCGCTTTTCCCATCCGCGCGCCGACCGGAGTAATAAGGCCGAGCCGCTAGTCGCTCCACTATCGGTCGTGTTTTCTCTCAAAGCGCTTTCGCGCGTTCAGATTGCCGTCGTCGCCGATCGATCGATCGATCTATCCTTATTTATGTAGTTAGACACCGGCCGGTCTATGTATGGCGTTTACGCGAACGAAAACGGCGTGGGTATCCAGACCAATAAGACCGAGTCACAGTGATTTCCTATACGTCCTACGAAAATTTATGACGAGCGCGCGACGACAATACGCGCGCGGTAGCTAACCGCGCTACAAGACAATCACGATTTTTCTCCCGCGGCGGAATAATCAACGGGCGTGATTTATCCGGCATTTGTTCCGCATCGCTGTATCGCGCGGAGGCCCTCCTACGCTCGCACGCTACCGATGACATAGTCGAACGATCAACTCGAGGCACCCTACCCACATACGCGCACACACACATGCTGTCGACGATCAGATAATTCTTTCGAATCGAATACGTGACGCGGTGAGTGAGTCTCTTCGCGCCGGCATCGCGACCATTGCCATTATATTTAATTGGTGAAACAGCCCCGAGAATCTCAGGAACGACGGGGACGCGTAACAGATCGCTGCGCGTGACTGTGATCGAACGACCGCAATTACTCCGATATGTCAGCCTCCGTCGAGTCAAGCAAATAAGAACCATACAACTGGTGTAGAATGAGCAAGGAGTGGTTTGCTTCTCAATTTAAAGTGGACACACACACTTACTTCATAATTTTTCAAAAAGAATCCAAACAAAATTTCGAGGAATCTAAAGATTTCTCGATGTAAAACTCAATGAATATATTCAACATAAAAATTATAAGTTATTATAAAAAGACAATTAAATCATAATAGTAAAATATAATTTACATCTACATATATATATATGTATATATATAACATACATAATGTAAATATTATATAAACTATGTTTTATGTATCATCTATATGTAAATTAATATCATCAAAGCCTATATAGGATAAGATGATACAATTTTGAACATGGTACAATTCTATAAACACGATAAAATTTGAATTTTCGAAGTTTGACAACCCTCTCTCTCATTATGTGAGGGATACTAAAAGGTCCCAAACAGGAAAAAATAAGTTCAAACTGTGAAAATTAGATTGGAAAATCTGAATTTAAATCTTATTTCATTCAGAATTTTATCTTGTACCGCCTTACCTTATATTCTTTGTTGCTGCACTGAACTGAACTAGATTTCAATCTCGTTTATACATATCATTATTTATCAGTATTAAAGTCAGATATATTAACAATTACACAAAACTTTATTACTTTTTTCTATCGTGTATTATTCAATTTATAATAATTTACATCGCCTGTATTATATACGTAAAAAGAAATCCGTGTATAAACTAACGTGAAGAATGTATAAATATTTTATATGCGTAAACGTAATCTTGAAATAAACGATACAACTGCGGATTTTGATCGATCAAAGTACGATGCACCGAAGCACACGTAAAGGTCTATCGGTGCGAATTAACTCCTTCGCTTGTCGCGTGCGTTTTCCTTGAGATGCGAGAACAATGCACACGGTGCCGACGCACGTAGTTGTCGTTCATGATTATTCAAATCGTTACCACGGAAGAACGCGTGTACACCGTCATCTTATTTCCCTCGTATACGCGAAACCGCCGGTCGCGCTGGGACGTATCGCGCCGTTTGCACGCGAAGGAAGGCTTTGCGTCTGCAAGAGGCGAGGCGAGGGAGGCGGGAAGCAGAATTATTTCCGCTTGCGGTACTTCTGCACTTGATGGCTAATTAGAGAATCGTTGCCGAGGCCGCGTAAAGAGCTAGCGGGGATAGCGCGTGTGCACCACGGCCGTCGTCTCTCACGCGCCTTCGCGCGTAAACGCTTAGGGAAAATTAATCCATTAAAGGCCGTTGTCCTATTTCCGGGAATACTCTCTAAACGGCAAACAGATCTCGCGACGAATCAAAATGTCTCCGCGGTAAACTCTCTCGCCTTTGCCTCGCGCACGGTTGAAAAACTTAAAACATTATATATTACATAGGCGTGGACTTCCATCTGTTTCTAGCATACACGTGACTCTCTCGGTGGGAAGCCTAAAACACGATTAAAGAAAAACAGCCTTGAATTACATCAGGCTGAACTCTCGCGTTTTACTGGTCATTCTGAAAGATGTCGCGAGCAGGTTTTTCAACGTATTATATTAATACTTGAAAGTCTTATAATTTATTTCTTACGTTTTGCGCTGCATTAGTATATATTTCCCACGCAATAATATATTTTCCATATAGACAGCATTGAATTTGTTGCTAGTAAAGTAAAATATGTGTATGTTAAAATTACGTTTTTAGCGAAAACACAACATTTAAGTATACAAAATTTTTCTTTTTCTGTATTCTCGTTAAGCCTAGTTGCATTTATTCAAATTATGCATCATTATGATATAAATACGACACAGTCTTCATTAGCGTTCTGAGTATCAATGAAAAATTATATAATACGTTACTTTACTTCAAAATAAATCTGTCACGACAGATTTCATAAGGCATACCAATTTTCTTTGAGATGGATTTCAATTGTTTATTTGTGGTAAACCGTTACTGGCTCTCTTTTTTTCTTTCTTTCTCTTCTAAATTAAATTGAAAAGATGGCATTGAAGAAATCCTGTCGCACGACTTCAAAAGAACATATTTATCTCCCTCAGTAGTAACATTTCCCTTACTCATATTTTCATTGCATTAATATTTCCGGACTACAACGAGCGAAAAGAATTGCGGAGCGCAACTCGTAGCATTTTTGAAAAAATACACCGGAAGAGGATTAGTTCACTTTTGTCGACCAGCTGCGGGTTGTCGCTCCCCCGAGGAGACTCTCTTGGAAGCGAATGAAAGCAGAAACGCGACGTGAAAGTAAATTATACAAAAAGTGGAGTACCTACCTCTAAGGCCAGAGCTGCAGGCGTTTTAAGAAACGTTTCATTGCATCCAACTATATCCGCAGACTCCGTCTCCTTACAACTAGCGGAATGCTTCCTGGCATGTAACGACATTTTAATCCTTAATTAGGAACATGCTGATCACGTATATATTAGTCTCTTAAAATTACAGTACCGAGAACAGTGCACCGCAAGTATTCGAGATGTGATACTTTATATAATTTTTACATAATATATAATATAATTTAAATTTTTACATAACACTTTATATATAAATATATATTTTTTAATAAATTATAAAAATAGATTGTATATTTATCGAATATCGATGCATATTTCTTAATACATCGTTATACAATGAAATTATAAGATGCCTACTTTCTAAAACTTTTAGAGTGAATTGTCACTTTATAGAGTAAAATCTCACTCTTTTTCAAGACTGGCTCAAATTTCACTCTTTAAAGTAAGATTTCACTCCAAAAAATGTAAATAGTATATTAGAGTTATGGACGATATTTTATAATGTTTTTATTGCGATATTTCTCAAAAGAAACTTCCCCGTTGTCAATTAAAAATTGAACTCAGAGTTGAAAAGATCTTAATACTTCATTCTTACTGCGTTAGGATCGCGATGAACAGACGCGTCTTGAAATGAAACACCGGAAAGAAGAAGATGATTTATATCGGAAGTTTGCGCATCATCGTGAAGAAGAGGACCGACGAATTCGCGAGGAATTCCGAGTATGTAATGATTAAAGCGGATTCTAACGAAAGTAATGCGATTTATTTGCATTTTATAAATTAATCTCTTAATACATAGTTAATTACAAGTAATGTACGTTAGTAAAATTTCAACGTATTACGCATGGCTTGTAAGGATGAATGGGAGAAGGAACTGGAGCAACTGTCGGCGAGATGGGAACGGGAAAAAGGCGGAAGAGTTCGAACCCAACAATTTCAACAAGAGAAGGAAGACCTGGAGAAGAACATGACTCTACGTAGAGACAAGAAGAAGGAAAGTCTCACGCGCAAGATGCTGGAGCACGAACGGTATTTATTATGTAATTAATACTATACCTACATAACTTGTTTTTAGATCAAAGAGGTAATACGCGGGATCATCCATTATCTCATTAAACAAAAAAGTAATTGAGCGTAAAGGATAACAGAAATATCTGGTATACTTGAGATGGTATTCAAATATTTAATAATAAACTTATTTATACAGATACAATTTGAGAGATAACATAATTAAAATGCAAAGTTGAAAAGTTGTCTAACTATATAATTGGATGTCTGTATATGTATAGTATGTCTGAAAAGTCCTCGAACAAAAATTCTTAAAGTCAACAAATTCAAATATTTGTATTAATTCATATATTAAATTTCTACATGATTCATTTTCTTTTCGATATAAACAATAGAACGATGGTACAATGATTGAAAGCGACGGAAAGAACAATTTTGCAAAAGTAACAAAATTTATAGATATCTCAGCAAAATCTTTCTTTCTATGTATAATACTCCTCTTTTGAAATTGTCTTTAGCTGGCACATTCAATCTTGAATCGTTAATATATCTGCAACTTTTTTTAAGCGCAATTTTAATTTTTAGGAAATAAAAACAAGTTTGCCAGAATCTCGGGCTAGGTAAATATGGGGGTGAATTATTATACCTGTCGTTCGACCAAAAACTGCGAGACTGTCTTTGTGTGAAACACGCATTGTTGTGTAAATTTGTGCTTCTAGACCAGATTGCGAATTTGTTTTAGCTAGAGTTTTGAAAAAATGTTTGAAATGATTGAGACACGTCAGGCACGATTTAAAGATTCAAAAGTTTTTCCTATACAACAGAAATGTGCGAGTGCTCCTGTATACACAGCCAGGATAGTCTCGCAGTTTTTAATTAAACGACAGAATGCAGCGATCTATCGTTCTTTGTATTCACATGAGCTGATACTGACGAATTTTTTTTATTACATAAAATAAACTTGTATCTAAAAGGAAAGTTTTTTAATGTGTGAGCGATCCAAAATCGAAAACGTAAGCTAAAGGCGAATCAGAAAGAGAAATGTGTTATAATAGCTCTCAATTGTGTATGCTGTTCTATTGTATGCGGTTCTATGTACCGAGAAGAAAAAGGAATCTATGTAGGAATCTAATTACGAATAAAAACTATAATAATACCCGAATTCGCTAATTTTTTAGAATTTTTATCTGGGAATTTTTCAAACATATATATATATGTATATATAGTCGCTATATACATTTTCCATCCACTCTTATACTTTATACGTACAATAATTCGTGATTTGTACGTTATTTATTACGTGATTTATTACAACAGTCGACAATTTCAAAAGAGATTACGAATATCGATTCCATGCATTTTTCGAAGGAACACGAGAAAGAATTACGCGTGCAACACGTTTACAAGCCGCGGTAGCTTCAGCATCATATCCTTTTTGGTTTCTTTTTTCCTTCGGACGATAAACAAGCTCGCGTGCGTTGGCGCTCGCGAACCGGGAAGCCGGATTTTCGCGCTCAACACAAAAGCTCCTCGTTACTCCTGATCAATTTATAGGGCGGCAACCGCCGCGCTGGTGGAGAAACAGAGCTCGGAGATGCTGGAGCTGATCAATGAGGCGAGAAGCGAATACATGCTACAGGAGAGTTTATACCTTGACGAAGGAGACGGTTATACTGAGGAGGCGCCGCCTCTGCCTTATCCATCGCGCGCGCCACCCCCGCAGCCACCAGCCCTCGCCAAGTACCATATCTACAATGATCCCCTAGAGTTCGCCGACATGGATCAGATAGCTATTTCGGTAAGATCTCTCACCGCGGAATTCTTTCAACGCTAGCTTCCTCTCGCGAGTCATCTTCCTTGTCGCCGGGACGAGACTTTACGGTGCACGGTCTATCGCAAGTATTCTAAGAGTACTTTTATCGTCTTTTGTATTATAACGTTTTATTTCGTTTATCGTGCGTTTTATTTAAATGGATTTAAACTCGAGGAATATATTTTTGTCAATTTAAAATATATCCGACATTAATATATTTATATACTTTCTTTCTTACTTCTGGAGATGTTGCTCATATTGGATTGTATTCATAAGCGACTAAGCCAAACACCGTACTTTTAACGTCGCTTTTATAAGATTCACTCGTACTAAGTGATTGACATTACCTTGTGTTGTTCTTAGGTAGCCCAAGAAGATCAAAAAACGTTCACCGACTTAGTACGGCAGTTGGTGAGCAGATGCGGATCGGATATAGAAAAGGCGAGGACAATATTCCGATGGATCACCGTGAAGAATTTGAACACTATGCAGTTCGATGAAAACTTACGGGGTGACACTCCCATGGGTCTGCTGAGGGGCATCAAACACGGCACGGAAAGTTACCACGTTCTATTCAAACGATTGTGCAGGTAACCGCAGCCTAACAATATTACAAAAAAATAGACGATATATATCTCATATAAACAATTTCTATAAAGGTATACACAGTGAAGAGTCTTGCAAAATTTACACATACAATTATTCACGTTACCTCGAACATATTTATAAATTTAGTGGAATAAAATATAAATCATGCTTTTCAAATTTGAAGAGTTTGCAAAATTTTATTTTCATAAAAATAACAATGGATTTAATAAATGTAGATTATTTTCTGTAAATTAAAAAATCTAAAATATATATTGTATTGCGTTAAAATAATCGTACATGGAAAATGACATATATATATATATATATATAAACTTTATTTTTATTATTTTATTATACCTATACTAATTCCATTCCGACAAACTCGCGATAGAAACGCGAGATTAAAATGCATATAACTGAATCTAAAGAGAGATTAAGGATTAATTATAGCAATATTTGACATTTCTATATTTCAATGATGCTATCTAAATTGTTAATAACGTTGAATGCAGTTATGCGGGTTTGCACTGCGTGGTCATCAAGGGTTACAGCAAATCGGCAGGCTACCAACCGGGCGTTTGCTTCGAGGACAACCGATTCCGGAACAGCTGGAACGCCGTGTATGTGGCAGGTGCATGGCGATTCGTTCAGTGTAATTGGGGGGCACGACACCTCGTCAATGCCAAAGAGGTTCCCCGTCCCGGTCAAGCGAAAGCTAAGAACGACAGCCTCAGGTAACGACATACCAAAAGATATCGGCAGTATCGTGATTGCAGCGTTTGCGTGTGCAAATAAAACGATCGATGTGATCACGAAGATATTTCACTTAGGTATGAGTACGACGACCATTACTTCCTGACGGATCCTCGAGAATTCATATATGAATTCTTCCCTTTGCAAGAGGAGTGGCAGTTGCTTAAACAGCCGATTTCACTGAAGGATTTTGAGGAATTGCCTTTCGTACGGTCTTTATTCTTCAGGTAAGGCAACACATTCCTGCTTTCTTTCTTTTTTTTTTTTCTTCGGAATATACAAGGAATAAGAGAGAAAGCCAGATTAATTGTAACGTTCATGATTCATTTCTCACATAGCGAAACGCACTGTTCAATTCCATGCAATTTATATACTGTCATTAATTTCACATTACTTTAAAGGACCTTGCACTAATTACATGGGAAATCGGATCTCGGTGAAATGAGGTGGTTTTCACATACATAGCTTATAATACGGTGAACAAAGATGTTATATACACATGATTCAAATAATGGATAGTTCTTGAGCTATCTATATCAGAAATATCAAAAGTATAAAATATGTGCTCGCAATTAATCAACCTCGGATACATCATAACTTGAGAGTTACCCATTATTTGATAAATATGTATATATATATATATATATAACGTTTTTTGTTCACCACATTGTAAGCTACAACATATGTGAAAACCAACTCGTTTCACCGAGACCCAATTTTCCATAATTAATGCGAAGTCCTCTTTAGCAAAGGTAATAACGACATATCACGTTTTAACAAATTAAATCCGTCCATTGAAGCGCGCTTAAAGACCGTTAGAACACGCAATTAAACCGACTATCTCTCGTAAGCGTGGCGAGATTGGTCTATTAACAATGATCGTAAGTTGCACGGCGAAAATACCGTTCGGATAAATTCTGCATGCACAGGTACGGCCTTTACTTTCCGGATACGAATACAAATGCCGTTATGTATACGGATTCCACTGGTGCTGCGACCGTGAGGATAGCGATGCCAGCACACATGCAATCATCCCTTATCTTTCATTACAATCTTAAGTTTTACGATAACGATGGCGATGGTTACGACGGTGTGTCGCTCAAGCGGTTTGTCATGCAGGTAAATTAATAGTCTGCGGCCTTCGTATTAATGATGATTTATGTCAAGCGACTTGGATCGCGTCGCTTTGATTTTAAAATATGAAAGTTATATAAAACAATTCATATGTTTCTAAATTTATATAAAATATCAACAAATTTATAGCTTTTGAAACTTAAACGTTTAATTCGAACATCGACTATCAAGTCGCACGTATAAAAGACGTGCTTCAATATATTCGTTTAAATTTAAAATCAGATAAGAAGATAACGCAGTAAATTTCATAAATTTGAAATTTTTTAGTCGGTTGTGGGAAATATAGTCGCGTTTCGAGTTCACGCACCGTGCTCCGGATCCTTTCTCTTGGACATATTCGCCAACGCGGTAACGCCGAAGGAATACTTGACCGGTGAACCGATGAAGTTCAAAAGCGTCTGCAAATTCAAAATCGCATGTGAAGAATTGCAGACGGTAATGGTACCGTTGCCAGATTGCGCTAGTGGCGAATGGGGTCCCACCAAAGCTACTAGATTATTCGGTCTTATACCCATCACTCATCAGGTACGTTCATTAATTCAATTATTTATTATTATTATTAATAGAAATAAAAAGAAAACAATATTATTGTACGTTTTTTTCGAAAAGAAAAAAAATTAATAAACTGATTCTAATGCTACGTAAAATAAAATAAACTTTTCAAGTCCATCGAGCATAGCATTATGTAATTGTTACATGTTTTACATAAGGCAAAAGTTTTGTAATGTTTCAGTCTACAATCAGTTCCACAAGAATAAATTTCCTTTACGCTCTTTTCTCTCACATATAGAAGAATACTAAAGTGAAAAAAAGGAAGAGTCAGGAAAGATTGCCAAGAAAACGGAATCTTCCGATTTTATCAAACCTGTCAGGCGGGGCGGTTTACAATCGCACGATCTATTGATTTTAGGAAGCTCTGGTGTTCGCCGGCCGCGAGCTGGAGATTCAATTTCGCATGTCGAGGCCGTTGACGGACTTCATGGCGACCCTGCACAAGAACGGCATTGAGGAGAAGCGCCTGTCCAAGTACGTGACGCATTCTATCGCCGACGACGACGTAGTCACCTTCTCCATAAGTTTCCCCGAGGAGGGTCAGTACGGTTTGGACGTCTACACCAGAGAATCCACAGTCTCACCCACCGCTCAGCACGACATCACTGGCGAAAAGCATCTGCTCACGCATTGTTGCAAGTATCTCATCAATTCCAGCAAGAGGAATTGAGAATAAAGTCGGGTGTTCTTATTGAAGTTTCATTTTCATCCGAGGAATTTCTGTACTCCAGTTATAGATTACTAGCGAGGATTGAAATTCCCGTGCTTATTAAGACGAGCGAACGGTAAACGTGCTTCTTTCGTGACACTATCGGAAAATTAAAATTAGAAAAACGGATTGTGAAATATTTTACAGGCATGATGAACGTACTGTCGTTATATTTATCACGATATAAAACGATGACAACTGTTTTATAATCCGAAAGTCTCGCTTGTCACTCTGAGCTAATTCTATCTTTCAAAAACAGGAAACGTACATATATAACGTTCTCCGGAAATGGATCAACCATTAATGATAAATTAATGACACTTTGTCGTGAACATAGAAAGAGAAAAGAGTAACGAAGCCGGTCGAGTGACGACGGTGACGAAGAGACAATGGTGAAAGCAGTGACGTTTTACGTCATTCTTCAAAGACTATTTTTATGCAATTCCGCTACCTCGAGTCTAACAATAGGCTTACGACTTGGAGATAATTATTAATGTAAAACCAAGTATGGAATTTTAGTTTTACGCGGGAGAGACATTTTTCGAAGCAGTCTCAAGCAGCAATAAATACTTTCGTATGTAAATGGTCGGGTTTAACGCGATTTCTTGAGCACTCGGTATATCCGGAGCGCGCTTACGATCGTGCTCCCTTATGTATCATGTACTGAGTTAGTACTTCCGTATAATGATGCATTCTCGCGATCATGCTTCTCTTATGCAACGTATCGAATAAATTATTACGATCTGCGTCATAACAATTTCACCTCCGAGCTTTACTCTCACCGACAGATTCACATATTTATCGCTAATACCGCATTATTTTCAATACTGTTATACACTCGTCCTCGATTGTGGATTCATATGAAGCGTGTGACGCGTATAGACCGAAGCAAATATAATATATTTTACGAAAAAATGCTTCTGTATATATAATGTACGTATATATAGCATCATTACGACTTGTGTGTGGAAAATATTGTTATCTATAGAGAATATTTTTTGACTTGTATCTAAAGAAGCATGCGTCCAATTTTGTTTGATCTACTCTTCTACTTTTTTTTATTTTATACATTACTTTCTTTATACAATTCTATTTATTTTATAATTAGACTGTGTTCTCTTTTAAAATTGGTACATTTTCAAGTCGTAATTTTCAAAATGCATAGGTGCTATACTTTATATTATCCCTTATAATTATATTCGCACAACCGAGTAGCAGTCATACTCGTATAATTATTTAGCGGTAGGATAGTATTCGCACCGTCGATTATGCAAGCAAAAATGTCGTTTATAACAATTAAGAAGGTATATATTTGTTAATCATGTAATATTAATCTTTCTTGTTGTCAATTAAAATTTTAACCACGAAAGGAATTTCCACATTATTGTCTTATGTAATGTAATCGAGCTTACAAAGTCTATTTTGTTATCCATTAACATTCATAAATATGTAAATTAATTTTTTTATATACTGTAGTTACTTTCAATAAAATTCGATATATTCTTGTATAAAGATTTAATAAATTGATTTCCGCAAAATAATTTCGGTTTATTTCAACAAATCGATTATCACAAATCCAATTCGGATAATTAATTCCTCCGAATTAATAAATATTCATGCAATTGCATAATTTTGTTTAAACATGCATATCAAGATAAAATTATTCCAAAATTTTTTTAGATCTTATATTGATATAGTTTTTGAGAAAGAAACTTTAATTATCAAAATATCTCTTTTATTACAATATATTACAAGAGCGTTTGTAATAGATAATTAAGAAATACGTAGGTAATCAAAATGATAAGATATTTAAGTATAGTAAATAATTAATTTCCGTAGAAAACTTCCTGACAAACAGCAACCCGTTGCACTTATTCCACCGAGCATGATAAACGTAACGGTACGTCCATCTTGCGGTAAAAGAAGAAAATTTAAATTTCATGAATCACAAGTGCACAGTTTTGTACAGAATTGAATAAGGAGCTGTTGTATTACAAGCACATTTAATACCACAATTCTCACTTCCAGATGAACACATCCTGTGATGATTTCAATATAAATCGAACACAAAACTATAATTATTGAAGAGAATTGAAGAAACATGCAATCGTAAATAATAAATCTTATTCGCAAAGCCATTTTAATTTATGAAGTAACGACAATCGATTTTAGCCAGCAATTGTCTCCAACTTCTATGTAATCCGAAAGTAAGTCTGAATGACAGTAATCCTGAGATATAACTCAATAATCAATAACTCCTTTAATAGCCACAGGTACATTCAATACTGAGCAGTTACAGTTCATGTAAATTGCACTATTTATAAGATATCCATCAGTCGCTTAATTCTTATTTTAGAAAACCATTTTTTCTGAGCTTAACGTTGACATAATTCAGTGATAAGTCGAGAATACCTACAATATATGTATGTATATGTGGTAACAAATTATTAGCAAAAGATTCAAAGGCAATGATCTTCGATGAACCTGTATGATAAATTTTGCAACACAAAAAGCATCATTGACAAACATTCAGTAACACAGATGGTATCGATTTATTTGTCGAATTATTGCTGAGTGGCATTTATGCGACCGTGGCCGAACAAAATTCACCGTACTAAAGTTTCACGAAGCGTGAACAGCATCTTCGGTCGTACTTTTTATCAAACTGATTCACGGTTTTCTTTCTACCCAATCGCTTATTATAAAAACTAATTATCAGGATTCGTCTTGTACATTTGTTCGGAAATGAATCATTATTTCAAACTTCTTTATGCGCATTGCGACGAGTTACCGGTTCATCGCTAATTAAATAACCGGTCCCCGGATCGCAGACTCACCCCTCTTCCTCCTCCCCTGCATATCGTCAACTTCCGGAATAGAAAGACGAAATCCCTCGGAATTGTCGAGACGAGAAAGAAGTTTCCTTATTCCACGACGGTACGTGCGGAAAGAAAGATTTCATCGCGCGGGCGGACCACTTTGTGATTTATAGCTCGCTAACTGCTTATTGTAATTGCAGATGAGGGCATCTATTATTGTTATTATCAGTGTCGGCCGCGGAGACAGGACGCGGGATTTAGAAGCTGCTCTCGCCTTATCGTCGCGCGAAATGGGAATTTCTGTTCGCGGCGACGGCGCGGCTAGAATTTTTAATGGCACTTACAGTAGAACTTGTCGCATGCGAAGAGGCAGAAGATTCACATTTTATTTTTATTAACATAAAATTACCTCTTTATATACTCCTTGGATATATAACACGATTTACTCAACGATGTTCCTAAAGGATTTCGATCGATGGCGATTTATTGTACGCAAAGCACGCAACCGTAATTACCTTTCGCAGTTCCTCTTTTGGCATCACCTGAAGCGCGAGATTTATGTGCTAAAAAAATAAGATATTTGATTACTCGCGGCTTATTGTGGCGCTGGAACAGTTAAAAGATTCTGATAGCTACTGCTGAAACGTGTTCTCTGTTCGTTCCAGTTTCCATTGTTTGATGATGGTCGCTCGTTAGTATTTCACGCTCTATACACACGCCACATAGAGATGATATGGACTCAGAGTGTTTAACAAGCCTCTTCCTTCATTCTTTTTTCCTCGCACTTCCTTCCGCAGCCCGTTAGATGCTACGTCTTTATAATTGCTCGCCGCAAATGGATGGCTATTAATGTATACGTCTATTCGCCAGTATTCCAGCCGTAACATCTTAATAATTGCCGAGTGCAAATAGCTGCGGCACGCTGTACTTTTTTAATACTTTTTCTTTTATATAGTATTGTTTAGTACAATATTGGAAAATTTGCTTATTAAAAGTATCGAAAGTTTAATTAATAGAGTAAAAGAGTAAGTTTTTTTTCATTCATTATAAAATACTTTTTTTCAAAGTTATAGATATACAAGCGATATCGATTACATTATAAACTACATAGCATAATAATTAATATTAATATTTACTCTTTCCATCAATATCTCGTACACTGAGAGAAATATTTTGGTACGTATAATTGATTCTGTTAATATCTAACTATTGAAAACTTTCTTACCTTTTTATTAAAAAATTCTATTCTAAACAAAATTTAATTAGACTAACGATAAGAAGTGAGAAAGTTTTTGTTGGTCATTTATCAACGAAATAAATAATTATCTCTCAGTAGTTGTGAGCAGAGAAATTTTATAATAAATGAAAAAGAGAGAATCTCTTTTTTTTACACCATAGTACAATGTACCAATTTTATTTTATTGGTTTTTCGTTAAATCTTCAAACAAACGTCAAATGTGTCACGCCGCTATCCCGCGCATGCATCGCATCGGTTCGCTTAAAATACACAGTGCTCTGAAACGTATAAAAGCTATTGCCTTTACGAGTGGACTATTTTCGCTGGGCGCCGAGCGCCACACGCCCACCACCTCCTCTAATCTAAGGCACGAGCATCTATAATGCATGCCGGGGCCGTGAGGGTATTTCTAATCCCACGCAACCCCCTTGTGGGGGCCGCAGATAGTGAGTCGAAATATCAGACGTCGAAGTAGCAGGCGCGCTGTTTTCCGAAGGGCTGCACCCTCACTCCCTCACGCGGTGGTGAGTCACGCGAGAGAACGGCTGCGCGATCGTCGAAGATCTCTCGCGACGAGACGGAAACGGTAAAGGGATAAGATAGCTTGGAAACTCAATCCCCTTGCGTGTGAGTTTCCATGCCTTGGTAAAAATCTTTAAAGCTGCCCTCCTTGATAGAGGCAAGTATTATGCGACGAAAAATTGTGCGGATTTATTAGTTGGTTTTTAAAAGGAAAAATAATTTCAACAGAGCGTGGGATACACCAAAGTAATTAATTTACGTCAGCAAAACTGAATAGAGATATTATAATAGAGTTTTTATATTATACAGTTGAATTGTTATAAAACAAAATTTAATTATAGAATATCAGACAGAATCATTTACACGATTATTGCTCTGTGTACATTTTTTCTGCTCGTTTCTCTCTAACATAAAATATAGTAAAATAAATTTTGAAGGAAAAACAATTTTTATACAAAAGCACAAAGTGTTTTATTATTTCTGCGTTGATAATGGGTAAATTTACTGTAGTATAAATTGGAATTCATACAACTCAAATTAAATTTAAAAAATTATTCAATATTATTTACATGAAAGTATAAAACACTCGTATAGGCAGCTGAAAGCTACAATACTTCTCTCTCTCGAGCGCAGGAAAATACAAGAAACTTATTAAGTGTGTGTGTTAATAAAACGAAGTGCAACTTGCAAGCCGAGTGTTTCGATTTTGTTGCCACGGAGTGAGAACAATTGAAGGGTGAGACATCGAATAATAACAGTAATAACGTTTCTCTAGGCGATGCCGGCTCTTTTGATACTACGACTGCGAGAAGCGTCATTTATTCGTAATGGTACCATTCCGTACGCGCGCGAATCTCCCCCTTGTATTCTTTCTTATGATAACGCAGCCGTGTCGTCCCTTCACATCTCACGTCTTGATGATACATGTTCGTGGTTTCCCTCCACTTTCACGCTGAACAGAGAGGCAATCGTCTCTATTCTTAACTTGGTAAATCGAACGGTGCATTATTTATCCGAAATCAGAAACAGGAGTAATCGGCCGCATTGAAAGATCACGTGATCGCGGAGAGGGGACAATTTCCACAAATCAGTGAGCCTGTTACACGGACCTAAGAATAGAGGGACGGAGTTTAAAGTCCTAGTTTAGGCGAGAAAGGGTGGTGTAATTCATCGTGCGAGGGAACCGTTTTCCGCCATTTTAGTTTCAAATAAGTTACATAAAGGTACGTGTCTGTGACATTCTGCGTGCGCTGTGTTGGTGCTAAGAAGTAAAAACGCTCTGTTATATGTCACACTACGAACTTTAAGCCCGTGTGTCACACGTACACGTTATGTGTGCGATCTTTGAAACCAACATGGCAGCCTCACGCCGCCGCCGCCGCGAATGTGCCTCACCCCTTTAGCATATGGCCTGTTCCTATATTCCTAAGTCTGTCATTTGCA